TCAGCCCACGCAGGGCATTCCCCTACTGTGTGTTCCACCGTGTCCTCAGGGCGGTCCTCGCAGTGATGACACCCGGGCGTTTCCTCCCGCCCCATCAGACACAGGTACCTCCCAAAACTTCCATGTCCGGTGAGGACCTGCGTCAGGCGGTAGGTGAGGACGCCGTAGCGTCTCTCAAGCCACTCCTCAAAGAGGGGACTTACCGCTGCTATGGCAGCGAGCCCATGGCTTTTTATGTTTAGTTTGCTATAATCTCCACGCTTACTTGGCGCGCTAAAGATGGTAGTTTGAATAGTTCTGATTTACCAGAGAGCAGTGTCGTCTGTTTTCCATTATATTACCTGAGGGTGTAGTCCCATGATCGTCATTTACGACACCAACGAGAAGAGAAAAGGTAGCAATTGCATCCTACTCTGTCATCCATCACCACACGGCGTATCAACACGCACGTAAACTAGACTAAAAAAGCCCAAAACTGACTAAAAAAGCCCAAAACTATGTAAGTAGTAAATCTTATAATGAATCCGATACGTGTCACCGAGCCGTGGAATTGGCAAGGATCCGTTTGGAAATTGGCTCTTTTGTGGCAGTCCTGTAAGCCTGCAGAGTACCTACGAGTCGGTAACACACTAATTAGAGAACGTGCTTTGTAAAAACGAGTTGCAGCTTGCGTACCACCTGGTGTTGCCAACCGGATATATTGGGTAGGGTTGCTATTTTCGTGTAAAAATGTAAAAAAATCGTTGGTCTTTCAGCTTAGCGATTATTTATTTATTTATTTAATATGCTTCATGCACAAAATGTACAAAAAGGTGGACTTAATGCCGCAGGCATTTTCTACCAGTCTGACCTTTGGTTGATGCAGAGAAGAGAATAGTGATACTCCGATTACAGTCTAGCAAACGAAAGTAGAGACTGAAAAAACCCGGCAAATTTAAAAAATATCAGTATAGCAACCCAAAAATTAGTATGTCATACCTGGAGTAACCAGACGTGAAGACGTAGTAACAAACAAACAAATTATTATAAAGTATCAAATTAGGTAAATCTCTCATTTACCTCAACACATACAATAATGTACCGCTATCATACGCATACAATAAATCCAAGGGTGGGAGAACCATGCTTCGGCACGAATGGGCCGGCTCAACCAGAGTGATACCACGGCCTCACAGAAGACCGACATGAAACAACGCTTGCGTTGAGTTTCGTCGTGGCCGTAGAGCCAATAACCCCCCCCGCCCTCCTTCCTTTTTCCAATCCCTGAATCCCCAACAATCCTCAAATTCCTAATCCCAAAAGGTCGGTAACTCACTTGTAAGACCTCTGGTGTTCCAGGTGTCTATGGGAGACGGCTTGCTTACCATCAGGTGATCCGCCGGCCCGAATACCGGTTTTACCATAAAAAAAATCCTAAAATAAACCTCCGACTAGGTACGATGCAAATTACCCAAGAACCTGCTTACACCACGATGTATAAAAGATTTCTAATGACAACCCTTTCCATTTCAATCCTGTAAAGTTATCTGCTTATGAGTTACGAAACATATCCTACTCTAATTAGCGACGACTAATGAAAACTATGAAAAGAGCAACACTCCTCATTCAGCCCTCTTTCAGTTTACGAACTAACTAGTATCTGCCTAGTGTGGGTATGTCATAATTAAGTGTCGCAAATCGCAATGTAACTAAAGAACTATGCAAAGCTTCTATAGGTAATAGGTGCTTAAAACCTCCTCAACTCCTCATAAGTTGACACAAAATTAGTGAATTTTAAAACATTACAGCATTACTAAGTAGGTAATTACTACTTGCTCATTGAGTCAGGTCATTAAATCCAATTAGACTACCCCACTTTTTGCTTCTTGAAGGATTGGGGGTCATCAGTGTGACGGGAAAGTAGATAAGATTAATTAGGTAATCAGGTTTAAATTGTTATATATTAAAATATAATCAAGTACGTACACTGTTCCACTGGAAAAATCATGACATAAGATTTTTACAGAATTTATTAGAAGAAAATACTAAAGAAAAGAGGTGGGCTAATCCAATAGTAAATACTATAAATAGCAAGGCAAAAAATAATAAAAGTACAAATACAATGAAATATAATAATAAAATGATAGTGATGATGGAACGTATGTAGGTGAGCAGGCTACAGAGGTAGGTATTTCTCTCGAGAAGTATTTTGTTACCTTACCTACTCTCCCTTTACGGTAGATACCTACAAATCCATAGAGACATTAAGCTCGATTATCAAAATAATTATGTACTCATAATAATAATTATAAAATGTTACCAAGTACAAAAACAATAATATAAAAAAAAATATAAGGACACAAGCTCGACTTGCTCGTTTTATGAATAACGCCATCTGTTTCAAAGTTTGTGAACTGTTGATACTGAAAGGAAAAGATAAGGAATGAGGTAATGGTTAGGATATCATGGTACTATTTTATAATGTGAACTAGATAATATTAATATTAATAGTAATAATACCCTATGAAGGTAATAGGTTTGTTTTAATATTGCTTCATGTTTATTATACTTTGTGATAAAAAACAAACTACACAGTTCCAGGGCAGGGATTCACAACAAAATAAATAAATGAACTTATATCAAGACTCTATATTTGGTAAAAAGCTGGAATGCAATATTAAATGCCTCTTAATAAAATCCAGCTAAGACATTACATTTTACATGAATTGAATATTTGAATATAATCATAAACATAATGATGGAATTAAAAGTTCTTTACAAATACAATGCTCCAATATTTCATGTAGCTATTATTTAGTTACACTTATAAAATAGGCATACTTAATAAGTCTCTTTAAGTAAAATAATCTTAAAATTATAAATTCATAATTGCTTAAAAATAGTCAACATTCATATTGACTGAATACTGGCAATTAATTACAATATACATTTATGTCATGGTGCCGAATACTGGGTTGTGCCTGCAGATGCTGGGGCCGTACTCCATGTACGCCTGCTTCGTGTGGCACACCTGATAGAACTCCGGAGTTGAACCCAACATACTGCCTCCGAACCACACAGCATAGCGCTGCATATTGTGTGATATAACTTGCACATCAACAGGTTTAGGAGTAATACGTCCTTCTGACAGCGTAGTAGACAGCTTGAGTCTCGCATCAACGGTCCGCTTAATGTCACGCTGCAGTCTCCTACCAAAGTCCCTGAACATGGTCGACCCACCAGACAACACAATGTTCCCATACAATCCTCTCCTCACATCAATGGGGCATGACTGAATGACTTCATCTACCATCTCATTTAGAGGAACAGTGAAGTCAGCGTTGGAGAACTCAGGGTGGAAGAATATCTCTGGACCCAAGAACCTTTCATAACCAACATCAACAGAGAATGGGTTCTTGGTGATAGCATTAATACCAGTGTAGTTCTTCATCCATTTACCAGGGTCTGCATCATATTTAGCAAACTCCTTTGCTATGTCTGGACAAATGTAACTGTATCTCTCCTTAATAGCTTTAGCAGTCTCCAAACTTTGTTCTGGTGGGATGCCTACTTCACGCTCACGAAGTAGAGATTGAATAAACGAGGTAATATTACGACCAGCGATGGGTATGTGTTTGATACATGATCCAATGACATACCCTTCAGCTACAGGCACAATATGAGTGACACCATCACCACTGTCCACTACAATGCCTGTGAACGTACGTTCCGCGGATGTACGCGACTTCCAGGACGCTGCAAGAGCCAACACGGCCTGCACAGCGATATACAGACCAGGCACATTGAATGACTCAAACATAATCTCAGCTAGGTACTCCCTGTTCTCAGGCGTGTTTAGTGGAGGCTCAGTCAGCAAGAAATGGTGATCTTCGGGTTCCGCTCTCAAGTATTTGAAGATACACTGTTCAATGTAACGCTCCATTAGATCCCAATCTTCAACTAAACCGTGGCGTACGGGGTACTTCACAGAGTACCCGGTGGCGTCAAACGCTTCATCGCCGATGAAGAAATCTAAGTCCTCTACGGCCTTAGTCATACGCCGAGTGCTTTGGTCGCCAACTTTAGCAGTTTCTTTTATCGCTATGGCTGACGGAATGATAAACTGCGGTTCCTTGTTGCCGGCAAAGCCTAGCTTCGTGTAGCCCGTTCCGACATCAATGACACAAGCTGGTAGATGATCACCCATATTTTCGATTTCACTAAATACTGTTCTATTTCAAATTACAATAAATTATTAAGGAAAACTTCAGTGGGTGCGGTACAATCACAGTGGGTCCACGGATTTTGACGTGTGTAAAACGTCAAATCAGCGGAAGATGATTAATTTACGTTCCGTTTCACGGTATGAAGTATGTACGTGTATAATCTTTTATTGTATTTTATAATCAATTTAAATTCCTCAATGTTGTGGAGTTTCTTTTATTTTGTTAAGTTTTTATTAAGTGCAACAGTAAATACTTTTAGTGATTTTTCAATCATTTAGAAACAATGACTGAAACTGAAAGACTGAAATATCACTTACCTACCTAGCTTACCACAAGCAATCAATAATTATCAACAAAAGGTATTGGTATTTTAATAAATAATTAAATAAGCAACGATTGCAATCTGGGGATATGTGAAGATGTCCAAGAATCCAGGCTTACTTACTATTTGATAGCAAACAAAAGGTGCAGAATGTTCCCGTAAGTGTAGGTATTTAGTGAATGTGCTGATCAGATACTTATGCTTGGCTTCTAAAATTCTAAATAGTAACATATACCTACGGCCCATTGTTTTTATATGACAAACTCCGTAATAATTTCACTTTCCCAAAAATCGTAACTGGAGCAAGATAGCACTTCGCATACCTATGTGCCTCTAACTCTTTAGGGATTAGAAGGCGTAGTGTTGTTGAGAGTAAATTCCCAACAATATTTTGTTAAATTTGGTGATCGGAACCTCGAACCAGGATTAAAACAGTTTGTTATATTGGAAGAACATTTTTAATAAAACAAAAATAAAAAAAGCAGCCGATATTTTTATTGTGACCTGATTCTAATGCTATATTTACACAATTTACATTACAGGAATGTAATCGTTACAAGTTACAATTTTGAAGATTTCAATGTTGATTTTAATTTAGAATCGAATTTTTTCACATATTTTCTGTAATGATAGCTTCAACCATATAAAGGTATCATTCAAGCATTTAGTTGCCTTTTTCTTGTATATTTTTAATGGAGTCACAGTGGAATGATTTTCGTATGTTGTTGCACTTTCATCTCGCGTCATTACAATAAATATACTAAAAGTTAGCGAAATACACAACGCATTGCGTTACACTTTTTTATTCAGCCTTGGAGTGAAGCATTGCAACAAAATACACATTTTGTCTCGAATAAATTACAAATAATTATAAATAGCAACATAGTTATATCAAATGTTGCCAGCAAACAATAAAATGTTTACTACCCCAATCCAGAAGTACGCAACCTTTTTTCGAAAGTTAAGACACAGTAGAATATTGTTTTAAAATAAGACTAGAAGGAGATGGCTTAAATGCAATTAGATGATGCCTAAGCATTGAACCAAATTATAGTTTTTCATGAAAATAAACAGCTAGTCTTTTGGAGTGCGTTGAAAGTTGCGTAATTCTGTAGATAGAATATAATTTATACAATCCTTTTAAAATGTTATCTTCATTTAAATTACATATAACAAATGTTAATAATTTTTCACTCCACTGTTTCATTCATTTAAAAAAAGGAGACATGTAGTGCAACCAAAGTACATTCAGCTGTTAAATAAAATATTAATGATATTTCATTGCACCTAAACAACACTAGGAAGCAATATTCTTTTTTAATATTCAAGATAAAAGCTCATTTCAAAAGTATACAATATTGTTTATTTGTTGTTCTGAATTTCCATTTGGTAATAAAAAAATATCTCCAATTATTTCTTACTCTATAATTTCTCTTAATCCAAGTTTAAATAGTAACAAATAGAATATTATTTGTTAAATACGTGAGTAACGAGTTATATTAATATAAAAATCAAATAAAATATGTTGATTGTTTTAACGGATACAAGTATGTATGTATAATTATTTTAAATATCAGTACTCGAATCAAAGAGGTGATAGTTCTTAACTGCAAATGGTAATTTTAATGAACAAAATAATTTTAAGTAGTTAATTGTTACAACTAAGTAAACAAACATTTTAAAGTAAAGCTGTTAATCATAACAAAATATCTACATCACAAAGTGTTAAACCGCAATAATGTGGAATTTCTAAACCTAAAATTAATAATTGCAGCTATGAGCTGTCACCATAACCATTCAAAAGATAATTTAAATATATTTCTATGAGTACATAAACTACTCCAAATACTGGACAGCATTAACAGATGTTACTTAAGTTCGAAATTCATAAATTTAAAAAAATGAATTGTTAACATCATTTTCGTAGACCACCTTCAGTGTTACACTATCAGTATCATTATCAGACTTAATCATAAACAAAACCACAACTTTTATCTTACGATACAATATATTATTTGCCTAAGATCGTCCATTGAAGTTGCAACAACATTTAGATTTCTCACCACATCGTGTAGTCAGAGTCGTCCATGTCAAAGATGGTGAAGAAACCGAGAATAGTGAGGTATACTATGACATTTCCTGCCAGTGTTAAGTAGCAGGCTCCCAGTGCAATCTGTAATGTAATAAACATTTATTTACATAAAATATAAGACAGATATTGTTAGTAATATCTAGCACTGAAAGGTGACCTGGTAGAGATCGCTCTTAGCAATAAGGCCACCTTTGTGCCCTACTGTTTTTTACTACTTTTGTCTGTAACTCAATAAAGATGGTTACTCTTTAAGTATATATATTTATTTAAAGTTCTCTATAAATTATATTTCTAAATACTAATTGACAAAAATAAAATAAATTTACATTTATAAATTGGAGCCGATCGGTAGCAGGAGTATGGTCTAAGCTACCGGTGGTTAGAGCTCCAGCCAAAAACCTCATCATGATACGTGCCGTTTCTAGGAGAACTGCCTTCTGTATCAAGCTCTAGATCCATCCACCGGCCGCAAAGAATACTTGCGGCGTGATTTACTTTCGATATCGAAACCAAAAATTAATGGTTTTTAGAATTTCTGTTTGTTTGTATGTATGTATGTCCAGACTAAACTCAAAAAGTACTTTAGGCCGGGTCCACGTATAGGCTACATATTATCACGCTATAACCTACGGGGGAGGAACTGTGAATCACTATTCCATGCGGACGAAGTCTCAGGCACAGCTAGGCTAGCTATAAACTTGTATAGTTCATTACCTATTCTATTAGCGAGTGTAAAAACTGTGTTTGTTATTAATACATCTCCATAGGAATTTATGCTTTGTACGAGTATAGCTTTGCTGATTACCTCACTGTTAGATAATTCTATTTGAATTTTCCAAGTTAAAGTTGGAATATAATAATACATAGAATTTTTTTTAGTTTTTGAATCGGCGATCAGTTACAAAACTATAAGCTGAAGAGTTGAATTGTTATAACAATATCTCTAATAAAATATCTCAAATAGAAGCATTAACTAAATGATACATACCACTCCAGCACGAGCCAGTACTATTGGAAGCGCAAACGAGCTGACGAGGAAACCCATAGTGATGAAAACTGCGGTCTCCATGCAGGGAGAGTTGCCTCCAGCGCTGTCTGTGTGGCGGCGTGCAATCATTGTTGGGATGGGACACAGCACGTAGAATAGTACCACGAAGAATGGCCACCATAGTCTGATGAAGAGTTAACAATATTTTTATTTGTCAAGAACATCATAAGTATAAAATAAGGAAATTGCTTTAAACTGTCAAACACCAAGCAGTCACCAGTGACCACAACCTATTGTTCTATAATTGTGTCTATAATGACGGTACGCAACGAGTTAATCTACAAACAAAATACTTCCACCGTCTCAGAATAATGGAGATAATTTCCTGTTATTGATTTGTTCAACTGTGTTTTTGTATGTACTGCATCCAATTACCCGCTGTCATAAAATATTCATTTCATTAAAAGCTATGACAAATTAAACACTGATAAAATGTCAAAGATTCCCGATGTATTTGTGCATATTTATCAATCAGTCAACAAAAGGATGTTTAGTTGCAATGAACTGCACCTATAGTATGCTGATTAAAGCAAATTGTACGCACACACAGGAAAACCAGATTCTCCTCTTTTATGAAGATATGTAATGTTGAAACAGCGGATAGCTGAATAAATAGAATTATTTTGAATGAAATTCAAATCAATGATAAGTATTTCTGCAACATAACATCATAATATCATGCCTTTTATCGCCGAAGGGATAGGCAGAGGTGCGCATTATGCCACTGTACAATGTGACACCCACTTTTACTATTTATGTTATCAGTCCCATGTAATAGGGGATGAGCCTATTGCCATATACCGGGCACAATTCTTGACTCCGTGCTACTACTGATAAATTTTTAAATACCCAGTAATACTTTACCCAACCCGGGAATCGAACCCGAGACCCCTTGCCCGGCAGTCCCACTTGCGACCATTCGGCCAACGAGGCAGTTACTGTGTTTCTGTAAATAGGACAGAAAATAACACTAACGTCAAACAAAATGATATCGGCATTTCGTATGTGACGTATGTAACTACTCTAACAATGACAATAGGCATGGATACAAAGAAATTGCTTTGTTTAGCATCATTGTAGTTTTACAGTATTTCTACCTAACTGTAAATGTACTTAGCATTAAGGTATTATATCGCTATAAGCTTTCAAAACTGTCACTATCTAGATTAGATTATTAAAAACAATGTTCTGCAAAACACTTATCAACTCCAAACAATGTATTACATACATCCATTTTTTGTTCATTTCAATAAAAATACAATAAAATAAACCAATACTTACTTATATTGTGGTAAGGCACAGGCAAGAATAACAAATGTCATACCAATGGAACCAGCAAAGGCCAGAGACACCAAACTGCAATATAAAAATACAATTTTCATATTGAATTTAAAAAAATACTAACAAACAAAAATATCTGTTGATTCTTATTAAAATAGAAGTAGACAGGTGTCAAATAGACACAATCATACAATCCAGTTGGTTTTAGTTTAGATAGTGTTGTTTAACAACAACTTACCGTTAAGGGTGCTTGGTAAAAATTTAACTACATTTCATAGAATTTATCATGAAAAATAATTAAGAGTATGAGCTTTGAAATTTTATTATTAAACTTATTCATCATCCTTAGACTAGTGACTATATCATCACTACAGAAATAATCATTACATCACATCAATACAAATTCAAATCCTACACAATGGACTTATTACTGTTACAGGCTCCTTTGTTGATACTATTTAATCACTAAATTATCGAACACCAAAAAATAAACGTAAGGTCAATAATAGTAGTGCTGAGAAAAAAACATTCATTTTGTTGATATAAAACAGCTTTCTAGATTAGAATTACGGTTCCAAACTTACCCTATTCCATCGCAATGATGAAAAGTACATGAAAAGGAAAAAAATATTAAGTTAAATATCTGTTTTTGATAAGAATTTTACAAAATGTATTTGTAAATAACATGAGTCATTCAATCTACAAAGATGTCATTATTTTGCAATCTAGTTACATATTATTAACATGAATTAATTTTGAATTTCAATTGTTTCAACATACCCTTAATTCCAGCCATTATCGTTAGTTTTTGTTATTATCGAGATAACATTCAACAAAAAGACAAATCAGTGAATTAATAGGTAGTGAAACGAAACTTCACTGAAATCTACAATCGTCTGTCTTCCTACTCTATGATACTATCACTTTGCTACAGACTATAATCACGAAACATAGACAATTAGTTATAAAACTAAAAAAGATAAAAAAATATTTCCGTAATTTAATAAATTCGACTAGTATTTTATTTACTGTACTGTTACTTCTGATAAATTACATAATAATAAACAATCTAATACCTATTTACTACAAATTGTTTTTAAAGTTCATTTAAAATTAGTCGAATAAAAGCAGTGTTTGCATCTACACTATACTGAAGTAGCAATAAACAATAAACAACGAAGTACATCACTAACAATCGACACTTGTCTGTTCGTGTTTGTATGTCGCTGTATAAAAGTTTTATTATAATAAAACTTTACATTTGAGTGAATCAATAGAACTATAATAATCGTAATATTTAATTATCCACTATGGATGACGATGCAGAAACATACAAGCTTTGGCGGATCCGTAAAACAGTAATGCAGGTAAGTGAGGTTATGTTTTGGATAGAAAGTTAATAATTAATAATTTTAAAGTTAATAACATTAATAATTATCGTATTTGTTGATAGGGGAATTTTGAACACTACATTTTAAAATCATCACTAATTATAAGTGCAGTCCGTAAAATAAATACTAGTTACGATGTCATAGTGTGTTTTTATACAACGGTCTCGAAGTACCTATTTGTTAGTATATAATAAGTAATTAAGATTTTAATTTTGCAGTTATGCCACGACCGCGGATACTTAGTGACACAGGATGAATTGGATCAAACGCTGGAGCAATTCAAAGAGCAATTTGGTGACAAACCCAGGTATTCATCTTTAACAGCCTAGAAGTGGCCACTGTTGACCAAAGGCCTCTTCTCACATGGAGAGGGTCTGAGCATTAATCACCACGCTAGTTCAATGCGGGTTGGCGATTTCAAACTTATAACATTAAATATTATTAGCTCATGTTTCCTCACCATGTTTGTCTGCGGTGTCTGAATAATCTTAGAATGTAGGTATATATATCTCGGAAAACTCTGATAGTAGGTTACCCGCACCCTCTTGCATGAGAAGCAGGCCTCTTGAACTTCCGGGCCACCACAACACATTAAGGTTGCAGTCAACCTTTCCATTAATTTAACAAAAGTTATTATGTTAGATCTAGGTAACAAATTTTATAATGCAGATGTCTTGTACCTACCTATACAATCATGATGTCCAGTGTTAAATATATTATATTGATCAACTCACCAATATAAAGCCTAGTTGTCTCTGATACTGTTCTTTCAACTAATGATTTCTTTATTTTCTCATCCAGTATTTCCATATTGGCTTTATTATAAATTTTGCATTCTAAAGTGACACAATTCTCCTTTTGTATTTAAATACATACAAAATTCTTGTATAGAATTTTTCTATTTATGAATCTAACATCCAAATCAAATCAATCAGATGTTTTTGACATTATAAATTTTTAATCCAAAGAGACGAGCAGACAGTCGACAAACTTCTTTATGGCCAAGTAAAATTGTGTAAAAAGTTTTCTATCACAGCTCTAGGTATAAGTTCTACGCAAGAATGAAATTAATTTGTCTATTGGTTTATATAAATATTTTGATTACAGTGAAAAGCGACCAGCTAGAAGTGATTTGATTGTACTGGTAGCTCACAATGATGACCCGACAGATCAGATGTTTGTTTTCTTCCCCGATGAGCCTAAAATTGGGATCAAGACTATCAAAACATATTGTACTAGGATGCAGGAGGAAAATATTCATAGAGCTATTGTTGTTGTGCAAGCAGGTATGTATCATTTCCTACTTAAAAGCCCCAAAAGCCAACAATTCTGAAGTGTGGACGGATAGCATAATGCATATCCTTATTCCTCAAGATTAAGAGGAGAAACACAGTTATAGTATGTGTAGAAACATAAGACAACACGGTTAGTGCGGTGGCTGGGTAACTGGCTGCCACGCAATGTGTCGCGGGTTTGATTCCCGCACAGAGCAACTCTTCATGTGATCAACAAATTGTTTTTCCGGGTCTGGGTGTGATGTGTATGTGATCTTGTATGTTTGTAAACGCATCCACGACACAGGAGAAAATCCTAGCGTGGGGCAATGGTTTTTTTGTTTTTTAATGATATATTATTTCCCTAGTAACTTGTGCCAATAACTAAACATCAAGAATTAATAAAGGAAATGAAATGAAATGTAACTAAAGTCAAAATTGTATTCCAAAACACTAATACATAGACATAACTTGGCAGCTATGTTAACAAATGTGTTGTATTTTTCAGGTATGACGCCATCAGCAAAGCAGTCGCTAGTGGACATGGCGCCGAAGTACATTCTAGAACAATTCCTTGAGTCGGAACTGCTGATTAATATCACGGAACATGAACTGGTGCCTGAACACATCGTGCTCACTCCTGATGAGAAGGCGGAGCTTTTGACTAGATAGTATCCTTTTTTAAATGAGAATCGAAGAAGGAGAAAGTTTTTTTTTAGATAAAGATAGTTTATCTTATACTATTATATATAGCGGAACAGTTTCTTTGTTTGTTTGAACGCGCTAATCTCCGTAACTGCAAGTCTGCTTTGAATAATTATTTTTGTGTTGGATAGCGCATTTATCGAGGATGGCTATAAAACGTCACGCTACGACCAATGGGAGCTGAACAAAGCGTGTGAAACCGCGCGGAAGTAGCTAGTTTACAAATATGGCTAATACAATAACATATGGTGTTTAGTTGGGTAGGTAAATTGCAAGCTCAGTCATATTTTACCAGGCGGCACGCAAATATTATGACTTAACAAAGTATTTATAAATTAAAGTAAAGGTTTTTCTATACCAGTTATGAAATTTTACCTATTATAGTTAATTAGTTAATAACTAGCTTCTGCCAGCGGCATCGCCCGCGATCCCAGGGGGAAAATGCCAATGTATTACATCACACCATACTCTACCTCTGTTCCGAATTTTTATTATAAAATGGAGTAACTTCTCCCGTTTTCCCAATATTTCCCTTCACTGCTCTGCTCCTATTGATCGTAGCGTAATGAAAAGTATACTATAACCTGTCCAAGAGTATGAAGAATAATTGTGCCAAACAGTGGCGGCTGGTGGGTTATCGAACTGGTGGTGCAGTTTACTAAAATATTAAAGTTAGAAAATGCAACAAAACAAAAATTGACATAATATATGTTTATTTTTTATTGTTTTAAATTTAAAAAGGGCCGTGGCGGTCCGGCCAATTTTATGTTCACTTTATTTTGAAAAGTTCTGTTATTTTCTTTAATATAATCAATGTTTATGCTCATTTTCACTAATACACAGTATAGAATAAAAGTTCTCGAAAAAAATCGAAACGAAAACTAAAAACAATTATTTACGGTAATATAAATAAACAATTATTAGCGCGTCACACATACAGTGAAACTATACTGATAGTCTAATAACGAGATGTCAATCATCCAATGGCTGCCGTCGCCTCGCGCGCGCCCATGCCGGCCAATTCGTCAAAAATCGGGTGCTCTCGGCAATCCTCGGTTCGCATCGCACGTGCGGCGCTCGACAACCGACTCATTACTCGGTACGTTTCTATGAACTATCTTTTGTTTCACGCGTCAGGCGTATTAACTCGTATCACCTACAAGTTGTATTAGCAGTCCTCGTGCACTCGCCGAAGCGCACGAGAGTTTGTCTTTACAGGAAAATAAGTCTTAATAGTTTAGTAAAGCGCTCAAACTGTTTCACTATAATTGGAGATTTAATTTTTTATACGTTTTTGTTTTTATATATTTAAAAATAAATATTAAAATGGTAATAAAAATAAAAATGAAGTAGGTACTTAATATTTTGTCATTTTTAAATCTTTTGGATTGGTGGTTCAGCGCACGAGCGCACTTAAGGTACAGCCGCCACTGGTGCCAAATTTCGTTAAAATCCGTCGAGTAGTTTTTGTTTCCATAACGAACATACAGACAGACAGACTGACAAAAAATTTACTGATTGCATTTTTGGCATCAGTAGCGATCCCTAACCACCCCTTGATAGTTATTTTTTAAATATATTTTATGTACAGAATTGACCTCCCTACAGATTTATTATAAGTATAGATAGAAGATAGATTTTTTTATCAGTTTCGTTAGAATACCCATTGACTGCCAATTACTGAGTGCCAAGCACGAATAACTATCGCATTCGTAACTTAATAGTATCGAGCGCGATCGGCGCTCTGATTGGCCGGCTCAAGTGAACCAACCAATCAGAACGCTTAACGCACTCGATACTGTTACGATACGAATGCGATAGTTATTCGTGCTTGGCCCTCTGAGGCCTTAGTACGAATGTGTTTTACGTTTAAAGTAATCGTAACGAGTGCGCGTTCGGTGCTATGATTGGTTGCTTCATTGGCGCCGACCAATCAGAGTGCCGAACGCGTACTCGTTTCGAATACTTTAAACGTAAATGAAACTCGTACTAAGGCCTCTGTGCTTACTATTTCGAAATCATAAACTAACTGTTGACCTGCTTTGGATCAAAACCAATAAATAGAGTTTGATAGCTAAACTTGTCCAACTAGGTAGATACCTAAGTAGTTCTTTGTGAGTACATTAAATTGTACTCTAATGTCTTGTGTATAAACCCAATTTTGATTGTAAGTATCTTGGGTATAAAGCATTTTTTCCTGAACAAGTGAAACAGTAAATTGAAGGAGAACATGTTGATGAGGATACAGGCTGGTGACCCAGTGGCCAGATACTTTGGACTGAAGAGAGGACAGGTTAGTAGCCAATTATTATAGTATATAGTATAATATTCTTAAATCTATTTACACTATCTTAAATAGTACTTACTATCTTACTTCTGGTATTAGAAGGAAGGTAAGTTTTTTTTTTATGAAATATGCTCAAATTATAAACGAGCAGACAGATCACCTGATGGTAAGCAATCGGCGTCGCCCATGGACACCCGAAAACCAGAGGCGTCACAAATGCGTTACCGGCCTTTTGGGAATTAGGAATTTGAGGATTGTGGGGGATTCGGGGATTGGGGAGATTGGGTCCTTCCCCAGTAATTGGGCCTCCGGTAACCTCACTCACATGACGAAATACAACGCAAGCGTTGTTTCACGTCCGTTATCTTTTTATTAATTTAGTTTTACTCATCATTTCCTAAACATATTTTAACAAAACTTACAAACCTAAATACTTTACTTATTTACTATTTTATACCTATATGTAAAGAAAATTGCATATAAATCCACCAATTACCTATATAGTCTCTATTCCTTAACCTGTTGAAAATTACTGAAAATCATCCCCTAAATTTGTTCATACAAAAGTAGTCTCTAAATATTGGAAATAAAGTCTATAATGCAGTTAGTGGAGAGATTAAATTCGTCACTACAATAATATAGTTCTATGTCATAAAACATTGACAGAAAAGAGCAACAATTAACACTCGTAAAGTAATTAGACCTTATCACGAACGTAATTGATAAACTTGTCCAATATATATTGTATGCGAAATATTTAAAATACTATGGAGTCACGCAAAAGACGTAAGTCATCATCCATAACCATATAAGTAACAAATTGTTACTTATGCAAAATTGTGCGCATCCATGATTTGAATACGCTTCGAGTATGTGTGTCAGTACAGAGTTGGCACGGTATTTGTACCAAAGAGTAGATAGTTAATGGAGTGTCAAGTGGTTGATGAAAATTGCAACAGTTTAAAGGCTTTTTTTAAGGGGAGTAAATCATCGAATGACTGCTCCCGCCTGGGTGACGCGGGAGGGAGTGTCAGACTTACTGGCTAAAAACTACCCCGTTTTTACTCCTGCGCTTCGAGCCGGAGCCTCGGTAACCCGTTAAGTTCTCCGCGACGCGCCGTACACTCGGGTCTGGTTCTGGTCGGGCGGCGAGCCACCCATGCTCGCCGTCCGCAGGCCCGCGCTTACGGTGGCCGGAGATCGTCCCGCGATCCCCGACACCCGGAGTTTTCTTTGCGGTGGCTGAGTTGCGAGGAAGCAGCGCTCCGCTGCCTTACGCGTCCTGCCTCCTCCTTAGCTAGCATGACTGCTTCGCAAAAGGAGGAGACGGCTTCCCAGTCCCCCTCGCTCCTCATCATGACCCGCACTAGGGCCGGAGGCAAGAGGTTGCCATGGCCGAACACGTCAACCCACGCAGTGCATTCCGGTACAGTGTGTTCCGTGTCCTCAGGGCGGTCCTCGCAGCGAAGTTTAAAGGCTAAGTTGTGTTTATAAGTTTGGTAGTTTTATTGTTAGTTAATTACCTTTTTACATCCCCAAATTTTTGTAACAACACTTTTAATATATTGATCGATGTTTTCTACATGTTTGTACCAATCGTTTCGTGAAGTATTGTAGAATGTAGATCCACATGATAGACAACAACCATGTCTAAAAATGTTCCCCGAAATTGTTTATTTTTTGAAGTATGCGGAGTTTTAATACATCATAAAATCAAGAGTATTTTAAACACAATTTTATTAAATTTCCAAAACACTTCTACTCTATCCAAAATACCTACTTTAACCTCATTGTAACTAACGGAGCCGCGGAGAACTTAACGGGTTACCGGGGCTCCGCCTCAAAGTGCAGGAGAAGGAACGGGGTGGTTTTTAGTCAGTAAGAGTCGGACTCTCCCTCCCGCCTCACCCATGCGGGAGAAGTCATTCGATGATTTTCCCCCTTTAAAAAAAACCTCATTGTAACTTCATTTATTCAATAATCCGTGCAACAATTTACCACACGAATAGAGTTATTACGTATGAAGACGCGTTATGGGCATATTAATACGCTTGCCGATTGTCATGCAGAAAACCTGAGTGATCTGAAGTAGAGCAGTAATAAAACAAGTCATTTCATAATATCATGGTCTTGCATAATGTTTACTAGTGTGAATCTAGGAGGCTATTAGGTAATTTTTGCTGATATCATCTTAACTCAAAGTATTAAAAAAAAAATTTGAGTAGTAGCACGGAGTCTGAAATTGTGCCCGGTATATGGCAATAGGCTCACACGCTATTACATGGGACTCATAACATAAATAGTGAAAAGTGGGTGCCTTGCCCGGCAACGCGCACTTGCGACAACTCGGCCAACGAGGCAGTCGATGACAAATTCTATAATAATCTTTAAACCCCTTTTTTGTTCCAGGTCGTGAAAATCATCCGATCATCAGAGACGGCCGGGCGATATATTTCCTATAGATTAGTATGTTAGGTAGATTGTTATTCCAATAAATATTCATTATTTTTTACGTTTCTGGTTTTTGTGTAACACTTACCTACCTACCTAAGCTCATTGACATCTGTTCCTTTGAAACTAAAGGTCATAGTCGTAATGATGTAATATAAAGTTAGATTGTATTCTGTGTTTGAGTGTCATGTGCAAGAATTTGTCAATAATTGAAAGTGAAAGAAGGAAGCCGGGGTAGCCCGGAGGTTTAACCCCTTATCTGCTAGTATATGAGACACAATAAAAACACATTGTGTCTCGAGTACTTATATGTACGTCCCCGGCATACCAGGGCTTAATACGCTCGCTGCTCATGCTTGCGAGTGTGGGTTCGAAACCTACTAACGGCAAGTACCAATATTTTTCCGAGTTATATCTATTTTCTAAGATTATCTAGACACCACTGAAAGGAGGAAGGAACTTTCCATCACTCAAATGGTGAAGAAAAACATCATTACGAAACCTGGGCTTATAATTTCTAATTATCAAAGTTATTATTAAGTTTCAAATTGCCAACCCGCATTTAGCAAGCGTGGTGAATAATGCTCGAACCTTCTCCGTGCGAGGAGGGTCCTTTGGTCAGTAGTGGCCACTTAAAGGCTGTTGATGATGCTGATGATTATGATGAAAGAAGGAAATCTTAGTTGATACAAAATCCTGACTAGCAAAAGGTGCTTAGAGCACCAAAAATCTGTAAAAGTCGTAATGTGTTAATTAAGTAGGTAATTAAAGCCCACAAGAATTAAATGAAATCGCATTAAGTCATGGTGGTGTTAGTTGGTAGATAACACACACGACGCTGAATGATCCATCGTATAATTACCGATCAAGAAAGAAACGTATTGACATTATTTATATTCAGTTTTATCACTTCGTTGTTCTGCCTCGTTGTCCTAGTGGCCGTAAGTGCGACTGCCGGGCAAGGGGACTCCGGTTCGATTCCCGGGTCGGGCAAAGTATTACTGGGTTTTTTAAAAATCTCAGTAGCAGCACGGAATCTGGAAATGTGCCCGGTATAATACCTATGGCAATAGGCTCACCCCCTATTACATGGGATTCATAACATAAATAGTGAAAAGTTGGTGTTACATTGTACAGTGGCATTAGTAATGTGCACCTCTGCCTACCCTTTTGGGGATTAAAAGGCGTGATGTTATGATGTTATGTTAAAAATGTGCAGTCGGAGAAATAGGTAGGTACCTGATTAGTAAAAAAGTGACAGATAGAATCATATAAATTACGTTCTTAATTCGAATTTATCTGGTAGACAGCGGCTATCCAGATATTGTGAAACAGGATCTTAGACTAAAGTTCTTACACAGTGTAATGACTAAGTACAACCTTCGTAGGTATCTACCTCTACATTCTAAAACCCTTCGAACTACGCCTTTACGGCTACTACACCTCATAAACTCAAAGAAAAGCGTAAAATAGAGACATTTATTAAAGTGTTACCTACCTAAATTGCCCATTTTTAAGGTACCTACTAAAATGATGAAAACATTACACGCACGCAACAAATAGCTTGAACCAATCGAACAGCAACCGCAGCTACGCTTACCAAAAAGTAGCAAAATCCATTAATTTGATATTTGCTATGAACTTTCATAAAATACCATGATCTGTCTGTACATAATAGAATCACGCAATGCTTTGTAGGTACCTACTGGGTAATGTAAGCACGCGATGCGCGTGCACGGCACTTCACACGCTGTATGCACGGCTTGAGTTGCGCACGTCGAGAATCCGCGCAATTACAGTACTTACGCGCAAATCGAATTTTTGAACTAAGCGCTTTTTTTTCTACGACGCGATCTTTGTAAATAATGTTACGAATTTGGAAATTAACGATACGAAACGAGTGACTGTTTAATGATTTCGAACTACTTTATAAGTAGCTATAATGATTTGTTTCTCATAAATAAAATTCCCGTAAACACAGCTTTTTTTATTTCGGGATATAAAAGGCTTAGGACTTAAAGTGATCTAGTGTTTGTGTCATAGGAAACATATTATAATTTATAATGTGATCTAAGCTGATTCTTCAATGCCTGAGCTACACAGAATACTTTTCCGGTAAGTAAAATACTGCCTGTTATTATGTTAATGACTGCATTTATAAAACATTTAGGTACAACGTTGTCACATTAAGGTGCATCCACACTAGTGTTAAAAATGTTTACAAAGTTACCTACCTACCTATTATATTTTTAAATGGTTCTTATAGGACCAATTTTTCAATGCTCATATAAATTTTAAATGAGAAATAACTGAATATTAGGCAATCTAAAAACTTCAAAAGGCTTCCATACTAAAAACTGTCAAATGTCAATTTTATTCTACAGTTAAAATTAACTGATGATTGAAAAATCGGCCCTTATTTTGATTAAGATTAAGTTTATTATTGAGTTATTTTTTTTCTTCCTTTGGCAATTATAATAACTCTGAATATTTGACATTTCTTCCATACTCTAATGTCAAAATAGGCCCTAAATATTTATATCCAAGTTAAGTTTTACTACCTATTGTTTTGATCTAGTCTGGAAGCACCATTACAAACGGAGTTACCTACAGATGTTATGCTGTAGGAAGTGTGATAATCTTAAGTTTTTAGGTCTCATCCATAAACCTGTTCTGTTCTGTAGATGTCGTGTTTTTGTTTTGATTGCGCATTGAAGATTGTGTCATGTAGTTGGTTACGTTGTAGGTAGGTAATTTTATTTACCTAATAGGTACCTAGGATAAGATATTCCTAATCAGTACCTACTTATCCTGTTGATGGAATGAGAAGCGAAAAAATCGCTAGACGACTTAGTAATGTTTTTAGCCATGGTTAACGGTCATAACTATTGTTTCTTTAGGCTAGGCTTATTACATTGATTTTTTGGGGTTTAAAGTTCGACTGTTCATTCATTTGAGCCAAATAATAGATACCTAAAGTTTTATTGATATCCGTAATAATAATATAATACATTTAAAACTATAAAACTTAAAAACTACTTACAAAATATATATAAAGTAGGTATACTAAAAATAACTATTTACCTACAAAAAGTGTCTAAAGAAATAATTTCTGAAATATTTGCAAATATAATTGTATTACGAACTCATATTCCGTTGCCACACCCTGTAGGTAGGTACAGTACGTTTAATTACAATAGATCAGGCGCACCTTATTCACGAGCACAATTGTACACGAAATCGTGATAATTATACTTCGTCCTAATCGTTATAACTCATGTACAGCGAGGATATTATGACGTCCTAAAGTCAGATTGGTTCTATTGAGGGAAAGAAACAGAGCTATACAAGCCCACCACAACCTCCCAAAACAGCTGCAACTCCTGTAAGCCCTGATACACAGTAGATACAACCATAAAAACACCGGAACACTGAAGTCCGGCGCATCCCAGCGATTGAATAACTGTCTTGGTTCCCACAACGAAGTGAATCAGAAGATACTATAAGAAGAAAAAAAAAAGCGATAGTTTCCACTTGCCTCGGTGAATTACTGAAGGAGACAGTATGAATTAAGCCTAAAGGCACAAAACACAGAGCTATAGAAGTCGTCTAGCGAGATCTCGTGCCATCAGCAGAACCATTCTGGCTTCAAGACGACATAATACGCCACCAGATACCAGCAGACCAATCTACTCCTTTCTGACAAATTCCTTTATTAGACTTTCAACTTTATGGTTGTGACTTATATCACATACCTACATACCGACAATTCAATGAAAACAGTGCTATCGACTGCATAGATATCGGTAAAAAGATTTCGGAATTAGGCGCCTATTAGTATGCAATTCAGAGGTATGTAATAGTAGCTGTAATCATTCGTGGATCACGATATTCTTGTTTCAGTTTAATGGGATTTTTTAACTTGATAGTGATGTGCATAATGAAGTCATTAACTTTTCTAAGTAGGCTAAATATCCACAACACCAAAAGCTTTCCAAAAGGAGTATACCTACTTAAACTTTGCAACCACCTTGAAGTAACGTAGGTAACTACTTTTTTTTGTCTTCTTTGGCAACCGAGTCTCCAATATGGGGTAACTACTTATTGGACCATTCTGCTAAGCTGTCAAAGTCATTAATTGACTTTGACAGCTTAGCTGAAACGCAACACTATCGCCAATTAGTAAGCATATAGTTTTTGCGTGGGTTTTAGTAAAGGATCTTCTTAGACCAACAGCATTTATTTTCTGCACTAAACAATCTACATTTCATCGAATGCCGGACGGTAGGTCACGACAAACAAATTAGAAAGTAAAAACAAAATATTATAGTATTTTAATATCGCTTAGAATTAATCAAACCGGTATTTCACAATCTGCGATCTGCTTAATGTTTCATATTCGAGCTAATTTTAGCACAAACACGATTAGTATACGAACAATTTCTAAATTATGCAAAAGGGCCCATTATTATTTTATTAAAACTAGTTTGGATAGCTGTTAATGTAAATTAGTTATATATTTGGATTTTATAAAACAAACAAAGGACTTTTAGATAGTTAATTGATATTAAAACTTGGCACCAGAGGTTATGAATTAAAATTGAATGTTACCACTGGTTTGGGAGGGAATTCCAAATAGCACTGTTGATCGAAGGATTTTATTAATTTGAGGTTTTGATTTGGGAAAGATGCCATGTCTTTAGATATTGGTATTAAAATTGGTGAGAACTATGCAGCATTCACAATCAAGATAAAACAGTAGACGTTATGTTTGTCGTTGAATAAGTTATTATGCAATACTGAATGGTAGCTGCTGTTAATGTAAAGGCTATGTTGTTATATGACAAGAATTACTTCCAATTTATTTTATAGACCACTATGTAGTGTGGTGTTTGCCACAGTTTTAATTCAGGTCATCATCATCATCAGCCTATAAGTGCTAACTGCTGAACAAAGGCCTGCTTCTCACGTGAAGAAGGAATGAGCATTAATCACCATGCTTGCTCAAAGGTGGATTGACGAATTCAGTCTTATAATTACTTATTTATTTTTATTTATTTA